CTTCAAGTGATCCGCCTGCCTTGGCCTCCCAAAGTGCTGGGATTACAGGCATGAGCCACTGCGCCCGGCCTATTTATTTCTATTCACACTGCACATCCCTCGTCCAACTACGAAATCCTTCCCTGGAGTGATTACTTGAGTGGACGAGTATATAAAATGAACACACACAAAACATAAAACCTGTGGATGGCCTACATGACTGTTTACTGATAGGGGTCCAGGTCAATCAATGACAGACTAGGGTGTCGACACGCAGACACAACCAAGACCTGTGAAGTCAAAGGACAGGGAAGAACACACACAGACTGGTCCCTCGGTGGTGCCCAGTGTGGCTGACACACACGTCACTGACACAGCCGAGCACTGGGGGGCAGGCCACACCCAGGAAACCGGGGGCTTCTACTTTGTGTAAAAACAACCAACCAACCAACCAACCAACGAACGAACAAAAGCTGAATAGCTTGGCTTTTCTCTTACCGCAAGCATGTATTTCTTTTATTCAAACACCCTTTAATATATGACGTTAAATATATAAGGAACATGAAGGAGACAATCACCCTTGCTTTATGCAAATAGAACCTCTTTTCTGCTGTGGTGGGTGGTGAGTCTCAAACTCCACGGAACACAGGAATCACCTGGGGGCTGGTTACAACAGGTCTGGGGGCCTGGGAACCTGCATTTCTCACGGGTTCCTAGGGATGCTGCTGCTGCTGCTGCTGGTCCTCAAACCCCATCTGGAGTAGCCCAATTTCAGATTGATGTCTATAAGGTAGTGCAGCCAAATACAGCAAATGCAAATGAGGATGATTACAAAAGAGAGAGGACGGTTCTCCAGGGACCCGGGACCTGCCAGCAGGCCCAGCTCCCAGACAGGGCCAGCCTGTTGCATGCAGAAACTGTGGACCTGCTCATGAGAAACAGAGATGGAGGTGGCGATGGTTATGCCTGTGTGAACACTGAGGTCAGGAGCCAAGGCCGCCCCACAGTGTGGGGTTTGCCTGTTTGCCGGGTGCAGTCCGAGGCCTGTGGGCCCTGAGGCCACCTCACAGCAGAGCCAGGAAGTGAGCACGGGTCGGGGTTGTGTGGGGTGCACCTGGCACCTGGCTCGGCCGGGCCTGGGCTCTTCTCCCGGTCTGCTGGCTGGGAGGTAAGCTGGCACATCTGAGGCGGATGTAATGATTGCCATTTTATGAATGAAGAACCTGGGGCCCAGAGAGGCTGAGTAACCTCATGAGGGACACACAGCTTGGATGGAAACACGGCTCTGCTTAGCTACAGAAGCTGTGCTCTTGTCCACTCAGCCACACTGCCACCCTTAGTAGCCAGGGAATGTGGTGGACGAGGTGGCAGCCCCGGGAGCCTGGCTTGTTTTGGGGCCTCTGTCCCAGTCCCTGCCCAGCCTCCACTGGAGCCTCCCAGCTGGTGCAGCCTTCTTCCACCTCTGCCACCTGGGAAAACTGAGCACAAAGGCAGAGGTGACTAGCTCGGTCCGGCAGGGACCCACTCCCACAGGCACGGTTCCCTGAGGGCTGGGAGCGCCCAGAGCACAGGCGGTAACATCCAGCCCAGTGGAATGACGGCTCTGACACTGAGCTGCTGCTGAGATAACAGTCCTCCCCCAGGTCCCTGGGGCCGCATCCTCACTGCCTACACGTGGCCCATCCCGAGTGTCCGGCACTGCCTGAGCCTGACTTAAGGGAGTAGTATAGGAGTGACATTTGGGCAGTCTTAGGCCATCTCCCATCACCCCAACACAAACATCCAGCCCCCCACATGCTTATCACTTGCCCTCTTCTTACCACCCTGGTCCAGGCCCCCATTGTTTCCCTTCCTTCCCAGCTTCCTGCCTGCAGGGCTCCCTCTCCAAGTCATTCCCCATGGTGCAGCCAGAGAGGGTCCCTAAAGGCCAGAGGCGACCGTGACCCTCCAGGCTCACAGGCCCTGGTTCCTGTGGACTTCGGCGGAAAGTCCAACCACTGAGCAGGGCTTACAAGCCTGGCGGAATTGGACCCCACCTGCCTCTCCGGCCTCCTCCTTCACTGATGAGGCCCCAGGGAAGGAGGAGGCACAATCTCCATTTTCCAGCCCACGAGCTTCAGACCCAGGGTTCCACAGCCAGAAAGCAGCAAAGCCGGGCTTTGAACTCTACCTCCACCAGCCCACATCACCCCAGGGGCAACAGGATTCCTTCCTCTCTCGAGCAACCCCCAGCAAGCGGGGATTGGGCCAAGGCCTGCGGGAGGATTCGGCAGTGGAGGGAGGGAGCTGGCAAACACTGAGGCCTCAGAACTGATCAAATCCCCTCTGGAGCAAATCCAAAAGGACTGAGACACTGCAAGAAGGACCAGCGCCAAGTGTGGCAGCAGCTGGTAGAGAAGCCCCCCAGCCCCACCCTGGCCTCTGTAGGGTGGGCCCCGGGACCACATGCTCTCGGTGTCCAAAAGCCTTTCGGCTGGGCTCACGGTTGCCCTGGTGTCCCATGTGCCAGCAGGAAAGGCAGGGGCACCCTCATTTTGCAGATGGGGATGTGGAGTGATGTGCCCGTGGTCTGGCCTGGAATCCACTCTCTCTGCCACACAAATTGCCATTTTACTGACACATAGATCAGGACTTGCTACTCTGAAGAGGGAAGTGGCAGTGGGGCCAGGAGCTGAGTGGAGGACAGAACAAGGGCCCGGCTGCTACTCTGCCTCCCCTCCTGCCCCGAGAGTTTAGAGTCAGAGGTAATTGACTGAGATGAAATAAATCTCTCCCCTCCCGAGTGCTGTAATTATTCTTCGCTGGAACCGGCTGCCATGAGGCTGCAGAGGCAGGCCCACGTGGCAGGAGCCAGAGGTCTCACTGCAGGAGTGGGTGCCCCTGCTGTGAAGCCTCACCCAGAACCAGCACCAGAAAAGTCAGGAATATAGAGCCAGCCCCTAAATATACAAAACAGGGGTGATCACATGAGTAGGGAGTAGGGTTGGCAGGGATTGGGGGCTTGGATTCCGGTCAGTACGAAGATTTCAAAACCGCTCTGCACCCCCTCAATACCGTGGCAAAAAGGGAGGAACCGCATTCCTCTCAGCTTCCATACTCCATCCAGGGCTTAGACGAACACAACTGCAATGGCTCAGAGGGGACATTAAATGATCCACCCCATAATTTTGTCGATGGGAGACTGAGGTCTAGAGAGGAAAGTGACTTGCCCAAGGTCACCCAGAAGGTGGACAGAACTCAGCAGATGAGTCCCGACTTCTCCACCTGTGCCTACCTTTCCCCAGGCACCCTTGTTCATGTTTGCTGATGGTACCGGCATGACAGACGTGTGTTGGGGACTCCAGCCTCAAGGGTAGGAAGAGCTCTGTGGGGCTCCTTTACCTACTTGCTGGAGAGGGGAGGCTGGAGAAGATGCAACACCTCTGTGTACCAGGATTCTGAGTGGTGTTGGCAGGTCCTGAGAGTCCAGCAGTGCACCCTGGAGCTCCCACTCCCTCCCCATGCAACTGGGGCACTGAGGCTGGGAGCCTGCGGATCCTTCCCAGACCCCCAAATCCTTCAGGAGCCATTTCCAAGCTTTCTAAGTAAGTCCAGACAAGCCAGCCCCGTTGGAAACTCAGCTGATAGGGAACCCAAAACCCAGCTGGATCCAGGGTACACAGACTGCCCTGTCGGTCTTTTTCATCGTGTCGTGCAGATGCTCAACAAACTGCCAGCAAGTGCAAGACCAAATGAACAAAACCCCACATTTCCTGGGCCCCCAAGCCTTAGGGTGAGATTTCTTCACAAGCCGCCAGCACCTAAGCTGTTTAGGAAGCTTGCAGTCAGTGCACCAAGAGTTAAAACCAACCCTTGCCCAGCCCAGGAAGTGCTGGTTCTCACCTTTTCAGGTGGGTAGAGCCCTGGTCACCTCCACTCCACTCTATTCTATAAGAGGGAGAAGGTGGGAAGATAGGCAAAGGTGCTTTCCCAGCAACCCTGAACTTCTTTGGGGTTGGCAATTACTGCTCTCCCCAGAAGCCCTGAAGAGCCTGGGCTGGCAGGGGCTGAGGGAAATGCAGGGGAGAAGGCTGGCAGGGTGGCTCCCTGGCTCTCCTGAGCTCCTACTTCCTGGGGAAGGTGCCAGGATGAATGCTGAGGCTCAGGCCTCAAGGATACTCCCTTTACCCTGCAGGAGGTTTCATGAACTTGACCCTTGAGTTTCTTGTGTCAGAGCCACCGGGGCTGCTACAGGACACACACATTAGCAGGACCACTTGTGCTCAGGCAGTCCCTGGCCGTGGGAGGACAGGACATGAGTGGGGTAAGACAGTGGAGTCCGGAGGACCCATGTCGAATATCTCTTGGGTTTTTGATGTGTACAGTCTTTTCCTTTCTGGCCGAGGAAACCCAGTGTCAATCAGGCACCCCCCACCTGTCACTGAAGCAGAGATTCCTAACAGACAAAGGTGTGAGGTGGTGGTGAGAGAGGCTGGCATGTTTGAGGCCAGCTCCACTACTTCCCCACTCTGTGACCTTGGGTAAGAGACCAAACTTCTCTAAGAATCAGTTTCTGCATCTGTGAAGTGGGGCCAAGGCCCCTTTCTCGTGGGTGTTGGGTGAATGGGATGGGATGAAAATGCAGCACCAGCTCTGGCAGAAGGCAAAGCTTAACAAATAAGTCTTTGCTCTTGGCAGGAAAAGAAGGGGGCCAGGTTTCCAGTGGGCTCTTCTGGGAAACTTTCCCTCCCCACTGCCCCCTCGCCCCCAGGCCACTGTTCCGAGGGAAATGAAGCCTCCCTTCCTAAAGTGGGTCCCCCTCCTCTCCCTAGGCCCTCGTGCCCACCTGGGTCTCAGTCTCCTCCTCAGGGAGGAGGGTGGAAACCAGGGGATGGGTGACGCCAGCTGGGTCAGGGGACCTGGTGCGAGGCAGCCGGGGCAGGCTGCAGTTGGCACTCTGGACAAGTGGGCACCCCGCTGGAGCTTTCCAGCCTGCATCTTCTGCCCCACACCCCGTGACCCGCGGCCCGCTCGGCCCTTACCTTGAAGCAAGGGAACGGCGCTGCCCCGGCCGCGAGGACTTGGGCGCACGTGACGGGGCGGGCGGGCGTCCGTCCCGGGCAGGGCGCAGCTAGCGGCGGCCGCTCATGCCCAGGCCACGGCGGTGGCGCCTGGTGGGGCTGGGCGGGCGAGGCGAGCGCTGAGAGGCCCTGGAGGCCCCCGGGGAGGCGACTGCGTGCCCGGGGGGGCACCCCTGCCAGCTCCGCGCTGCGGCCGCGACTCCGGACGCCCTGGCTGGCTCCCTGCGAGCGGCAAGCGCGGCTCCAGCCTGGTCCCGAGCGCAGGGCGCGCGCTGGCGGGGAGGGCGCGCGCCCGAGTCTGGCGGGGAGCGCGCGTCACCGGCCCGCGCGCGCAGTCGTCGAGGGATGCCGGGAGCTGCCCGGGGAGCTGTCCCTGGTGCTGACGGCTCGTCCGCTCTCGCCGGGGCCGCGCGACCTCCTGGAGGCCTGGGGGCGCCCCCAACCCGGCCCGCGCCCGTGCGGTGCTCCCTCTGCTCTCCGCCTGTTCTTGGGGCGTTCCGGCTTCCACAACGTTGGGATCTGGAGTCAGGCCGAAGCTGCTGCTTATCCACAGTGGGGCAAGTGCCTTACCCTGGTTGAGCGGCTGGTTCTTATCTTTAAAATGGGGAGTTAACACCAGCACCTTTAGGGTTGGTCTGAGAACGAAATCCGATGATGTTTCGAGGCCCGGCACACCATAAGTGCTTAATAAATGCTCGCCTTTGTTACTATTTATTTCCCTTCTCTGAGTTAGCAATCCTGGAGCAATTGAGAGGAGGGGCAAGGCTTAGTCTGCTCCCCGTGGGAGGGTGTTTGGGGCATGGCAGCTGCCTTTGGATCTCTCCCACATCCACGGGGGAGGGGGGCAGATCCCTTCTCCCTGACCCCAAAGCACAGAGCTAGGACCAACGGCTAGACGTTAAAGCAAGGCAAATTTGGGCTGGGTACGAGGGAGACCTTTCTGACCTAAGGCTCCTACTCCTGAGAGGAGTACCCCAGGAGGCATTACCCCATTTCTGCAGGTCCTCGAACTGAGGCTGCAGTCACAGGGACCCTGGACAGAGAGAAATCTGGTGTTAAGAATGTTAGGAAGGCTTTTGTGTTAGAACATGTACAGCACTCAGAGCTGTGCCTGGTAGGAAAGCACCATATAAATATGTGCTTTTTTTTTTTTTTTTTTTTTTTTGAGACATATCACTCTGTCACCCGGGCTGGAGTGCAGTGGCATGATCTCAGCTCACTGCAACCTCCACTTCGTGGGTTCAAGTGATTCTCCTGCCTCAGCCTCCTGAATAGCTGGGATTACAGGCGTGCATCACGACACCTGGGTTACTTTTTCGTATTTTTAGTACAGACGGGGTTTTGCCACGTTGGCCAGGCTGGTCTTGAACTCCTGACCTCAAGTGATCTGCCCGCCTCGGCCTCCCAAAGTGTTGGGATTACAGGCATGAGCCACCACGTCTGGCCTTAGATGTGTGCTTTCATTATGATCGACCTTTAAGTTCTCTATAAAAAACATCATGGTAGTAACCATAACCTTGCTTCACCCCCATTCTAGACATGAGAATACTGAGGACAGACAGAAGAGTAAAGTGCTGGGAGTCCATTTCCCTTTTACAGATGGGCTGAGCACAGATGGGTGAGCAACTTGCCCCTGGGCAAGAGAGTGAGTGCTCACACCACACAGACATGCTCCAAATGTCCAGCCTGTTGCCTCCCCTGCTGGGCCCCAGGCAAGGGCCCCTGCTGAGTTTCTCCAGGCTGGTCATGTCACTTTGACCATAGAGAGTTTTCTTATAGCAAACCAGGCTAGTCCTCCTTTCTCTTAACTAATGGGGAAAGCTGGTCCCCGCCCCCTGCGAGTATCTTGTTCTCTTCCAAGCAGGATAATTAAACATCACCTGCTTCATTTCCTAAGGGACCAGGGGCTGTGTTTGATTCATTAATTAACTGCGAGTAGTACCTGCTCCCACCAGGCACTTGTCTCATGATAAACATCACTCATTATGTGCTTAATGCATGCCAGACACAAGGCTAAACACCGCGCGAGCTTTGCCTCATTTAGTCTTCTCAGCAATCCGATGAGATATGGATACTGTCATTACCCTGACTTTGCAGGTGAAAACTTTAGGCTCAACAGCAGCAGACCTGAGGTGGATCTGCCTGATTCCCAAGCCATTGCTCCTAATCCCCTGCTTCCAGAACTTCCACATCCTCCCCAACCAGCCCCACCTAGAAAAAAGGATGGTAAACACGGATAGAAATTCCATATAAGGAGAGAGAAAGGCAGAAAGAGAGAGCCAGGAGGAAGAGGCAAACCAGTCAGCCAATCGATGTCCTAGGAGTTGACACAGGAATCCTTTAAATCATCATTTTTAGTCAAAATCCCCATTATGACAACTGAGCAACTTGTTTTTTATTTAAGAGTTGCAAATGTGTGCCAAGAATTTTAAAAACAACATCACTACCAAGCCCTGTCTTTATCAACCAGCTCAATGCCCTTCCACTTCTCCCCATGCTGACTTTTTATTCAAACTCTGCAGAATCCTGCAGCTATGGATCTGAGCAGCTGGAAACCTCTGTGGAACCAGCTCAGACTCTGTAGCTCTCAGCCTCTTGACATACTGGTTTCTTTCCCGTGCTGTGCAGAAAGATGTGGTCCTGATGCCTGTGATGACAAAACCTTATTTAAAATGGAGCCCATTTTATTTGAAAGAGGTCTGAATATTACCCACAACATGTACAGTAGATGCCTGCATTACCCTCACTTTACGGAGGGTAACAAAGAGGTGAAGTGACTTGGCCAAGGTCACACAGCCAGCAAAGAGGTGACTACACTGAACAGATTCCATTTGGATCGCAATGCCAGATGGTCACCACCAAACTCGTTATTTATGTGCAAAAGCATGTCCTGATTTTAAGCAAAAACCAATTTCAGAAAATAAAAATGGGTGGGGGGAGAGAAAGACAAGAAAGAGTCTCTGGTCTGACTTTATAAAAACAATTCATCATCAGGATTCCCTAAATAGCAAGTTCTCCTGGTGCGTGCAAAAAAAAAAAAAGGATCCTAGTTACACGCAGTTCTTTTAGGTGGCCAAAAACAGGTCTGGGGGTGGGAGGAGCGACATTCCGCCGCCGGACTGGTGCTCCATCCACTACAATAAGCTGTTTAGTCGTGTGGCAACCTCAGCCAACGGCAGCTACTCTGTCCCCACCACCAGCATCGTTCCACAACAGAGCTTCATGGATATAACTCAAATTCAACAGATGGCCAAGTTGGTTGAACACCTCCCAACACATTGGTTCATGGGTGGCAGTTTACAAAGGTTCATTTTCCACTTAGGGCAAATGGGGCTTGCGTAAGATCATCCTGACACTATACGAGCAGGACCTCTGTGCGCATCGGTTTCTTGGAGTCGAGTGTGGATAGCCTCATTGCTCAAAGACTTACAGCCTCCTGAAGAAGACACATCAGCCTTTCTTTCTCTCTGGGGATCTGTACGTGCCCAAGAGGTGCTCATTGGCTGGATATAGAGGAAAAAACAAAACCAGTGGTGGCAGGGAAACCCTGACATTCCAATCATACCTGCATCCCATGCACAGTCCCCCGCACACTCATATGGTGGGAACGACGTGCTTGGGAACAAAGGATGTGAGCAGCTGCTGTTGATGCCTGAGTCTAATTCTACAGAGGCAGAAAGAACAAAGTGCTCGAGGACTAAAGTTTCTGCCAGGATGTGGAGAGTCACGAGAATGATGCCCAAGAGCTTCTCCCGTTCCCTTTCTGGGAACCCTCTGGAAGGGGCGAGCTCGTCATCTCCAGACATGCCTGGGCAGAGGCTGGCTGTCCACTTGCAGCACAGCTGGCACCCAGGGACCCCTCGGCATTAGAAGTCTGTGAGATTCCAGAAGGGGCAGCTGCTCACTGGTCTGTGTGGGTGCCCCCCGGCCCCCAGCACCGACCTCCATTCAGCTGCTTGATGGATCTCAGGGCAATGAAAGGGAGTCCGTGTTGGGTTTACCAAGCTCTTCCTCATATTGGTGCCAGGCCAAACTATTGAAGTGGTTGCTGTTTCCACTGGCACGTACTTATGGAAATTACCTGGGCCTTGCGGCAGTTACTAGATTAACCTTTGTTTGGTCTTTGAATTGTTTCCTCCTCTTAGCCTGCAGCCATAAGACGTTCTGCAGTTGATTGACTGGGCCCAGCGACAGCCCCTTTGATCCGTTTGTGTCACTGAACCTGTGTCCACTCAACTGCAGATGATCTGTGCGGGTCAAGGCCAAGCGCATTTAGAGAAGAGATGAATTTTTAAAAAAGAAACTGTTGAGAGATGGGCAACTGCTAGTCACTGTGATTACTCTGTGAAGCTGAATAGGCAGAGTGTGCCTCGCATCCCGGGGCTGTTAGATTGGACGTCTTTTAGATGGGACCAGGAGAATGACGAGGCACCAAAGTGTGCAAGAGAGGGTGAGAGGGTTGGGCAACAGAGGGTGCCAGTGGATAGAGTGGGAGGGTGTGTGCGGGCTCAGGTGTGCAACGTGTGGGATGTTTCCATTGCCCTGGTTTGAAAAGACAGCCTCATCTGTGTGAAAAGAAATTACTGGTGGTTTTTAATTACTGCAACATTTTAAAACGTTGTGACAGCAAGCTTGACGTGTTCGTTCTTTAAGAGTCATCGTGGATGATGGATGAGGAGGAGATGGTGCTGAGAGGCGCTCGGGGACCCGTCAAGGGGTCTCTCGCAGCTCCCTCTGTGTGTCACGGATCAACCTGAGAAATCCTGCCACAGAGCGGAGGAGAAGCGAGACAGGAGTTATGGAGGATTTATTCTTTCAGAGCCTTCCTCCATTGCAGGGATTTTTTTACTCCAGAGAGGCATTAACAGAGAGTACTCCTAATCTGGGTTTTACTTTCTCAGCCAAAGCACTTCTTCACAGCTTTGAGCAAATGCAAGCCATGCCTACATTCGTTCATTCATTGCCTCACGTACTGTGGGCGCAGAGACAGAGGCAAGAGGCCTCGTCATCACGAGCTCAGAGGGAGGCGAGGGTTTCAAAGGTTGACGGCCAGGGCCTCCTGAGGCGGGCAGAGCGGGACGGGGACCACCTGGCTGATAGCTAGCATTTGTCTTGTGCTTATTACCGTTGAACTGTGTTGACAGCCCTGGGAGACAGGCACAATTCATTCATTTTGCCGGGTTTACAGTAAAGAACCTGAGACAGAGAAAGTGAATGACCTGCCCAAGGCTGCCCAAGGCCAGGACCCATCTGACTCCGAAGTCCACCCAGACCACGTCCTATGCCTGCGGTGTGACCCTCAGTCTATTTCAGTAGAAAATAAGAAATGAAAATCGGAGGTTGCCTATCTGGACAAGGGGAACCTAATATTGAAGCAATCTTCCCATAACCTTTCTGCTTCTATTAGCACAGGGTTGCAGAGGTCGCTGAATGCTGTTCATTTTAATAAAAGGATGAAAAGAGAACACCCATGATGACTGACACAGGCCAGCGTCAGGACATGACAATAAAATGTCATGCCAGGCTGACATGCCAGCCTTTCATTTGAGCCGTGCAGAGAGGGTTCTCCCCTCAGGACAGTCTCTGGAGCACCCGTGGGGCAGCTCTGCCACCGTAGGACTCACCTCACAGACATAGTCTCCTCTTGGGTGCAAAGAATAAAAACCTGGACTTACTCATTGCTCTCCTGTCAGACTCTATCCAAGCCACCAGCCCCAAAGCCTGCCTAACAATGGCAGATTT